GCTTTGTTTTGAGACAGGGTTTGATTCTGTAGCCCATGTTGGCCTAGAACTTATGATCCTCCTGCCTCCACCTTCCCTAGTACTGGGATTACACGCATGCACCACCACACCTGGCTTCAAATAGTTTTTTAATATCTCTCCACAACAGAAACTGGGGGAAAAAATTACTCTATCACAGCTAGGGCTAGAAATTTAATACTTTGAATTAAGTTATTCGGACACATTCACTGAATACAAGGAGTTCTTCCTGTAGGAAAAATCTCATTAATCACTGACGGGAAGGGGGAATAATCCATCAGGTTACAAATGATCTGGGAAACATGAGTACCTAGTAGGAAATGCATTTCCCATGAAGATTAAAAATAAAATGTCTCCATCAGCAACCTGGCAGACTCCAACAGCCAAGTGTCCCAAGTGGAGAAGACTGGCACTGTACAGCTACAGCTGGCCGAGGACAGCATTACAGGTTGATGCTAAAAGTGCCAGCTTTGTAGACTGACTCTACCTTGTGTCAGCTGTGGGGCTCTGACAAGTTTCTGTACCTCTTAGAGCCTCAGCGTCGTCACCTGTAAAATGGGACTAATCACTCCTACCTGCCAAGGTGTCTATGAAACTATGAGGCGGTCTGCTGCTCTGTCATCAGGACTTTGACAGGATGCTTCTGCTTAAAACTCCAGGAAAAATGAGGCTTTGGGACACAATGGAAAGAGCCCAGACCTGTCTGACTTGGAAGCTCCACCTTGGGGGCCCTGAGCATGTGGCTTTAGGTTATTTTCAGTGTCCAGGGTCCTTATCTGTCTGGAATCAACTCTAAGATTTCTTCCAGTTCTAGGCTCTTTTTTTTTTTTTCTGGCAGTGCTAGGATTTGAACACAGGGCCTCATGCTTGAGTCACTCTGCCAGTTCATTTTTGTGATTTTTTTTTTCTGAGATAGGATCTCAAGAACTATTTGCCAGAGGCTGTCTTTGAACCCCCATCCCCCTGATCTCTGCCTCCTGAGTAGCTAGGATTTCAGGTGTGCCCAGCCCTGTTCTAGGATCTTGAATTCCCTCAGGCTCTAAATAGCAATTCTTCTTTGGTGTTTAACAGTAGTCCCTCAACAGAAAGTTGCTTCTCAGAGGGGTGGAGGTGGCTCACACCTATAATCTTAGCTACTTGGGAGGCTGAGATCAGGAGGATCATGGTTTGAGGCCACCCTGACCAAACAGTTCAAGAGACCGCCTCTCCAAAACAACCAAAGCAAAATGGATTGGAGATGTGGCTCAAGGGGCAGAGAACCTGCTTTGCAAGCTTGAAGCCAACTTCAAACATCAACCCCACCAAAAACAGAAAAGTTGTGAGAACCATGAAGCCAGGTCACTAATCTGAACCCTCTCAGTCCTGCACACAGCCTCACACAAAATAAGAGCTCAGTAAATGCTTGCTGAGTGGGATGGATGGATAAATGAATTCCAAGGGTGGACAAAAATGGCACTTGTCTCCACTGAGCAAAGTTTAATGCAAGGAGAAAATGTCACAAATTTAAAATATTAATGATACTTCCTTTGTCATTTGAACTGAAACTAGAATCTCAGATGAAGTCTTTGGTAGTCAAAGGATGCTGAGTTCTGAAAAGCAACCCCTGGACTTTGTTAGAGGAGAGCATTTGGTTTGGACCACAAGGAGTGCAGACACACGGGCTGCAGAAGGGATGCACAAGCTCCAAGACGGACATGCCACTCAACTCCTGCAGCAGGGGTGGCACAGAAGCGTGCCAACACACGAGGGAAAAAAAAACCAAGAGTGAGACATGTGGATATGCAGTTGTATCTGCCGGGAGGGCCCAGCTTCAGGGAGGAAGTCTAAATCCAGCAGATGGTCTGCTACCTGTGAGGCCCACCCAGGAGCCCACAGGTGGGCGGCAGCTCTCATGGTTGACTTCAGTAGGTCTGGGGTCTGAGGGGGACTTCAGTGATAAAGAAGACTCTAATAATGTACATGTGCACACACATGCACGCACGTGTACACCTTCTGATCTCTATGAGCCAGTATACTACTCAACTATTTAAACATTTTCTTCTATTTATTTACTTACTGGTGGTACTAGAGTTTCAACTCAGAGCCTTGTGCTTGCTAGGCAGGGAATCTACCACCTGAGCCATGCCCCCAGCCCTGTCTTTCCTTTAATTGTTTTCCAAATAGAATCTCCTGTTTTTTGCAGGCTGGACTAGACGGCAATCCTCCAATTTATGCTTCCCACATAGCTGAGGTGACAGGCATGTACCACTGCGCTCAGTTTATTTGGTTGGGATGGGATGTTGCTGATTTTTTGCCTGGCCTGGCCTCAAACCTCAATCTTTTTGATCTCTGCCTCCAGAGTAGCTGGGATTATAGGTGTGAGCCACCGTGCCCAGCCCTTGAACTTTTGATTATCCTACCTCAAGCCTCTGGAGTGCAGGAATTACCAGCATGTGCCATCACCTTGGCTCTAGGGATCATACTCTTAGTAATACTTTTAAATGTTTCTGGCCAGCCCACAGCATGAAATACTTTCTACATCAGCACCAACTTGGCCACCCTTGGCCATTTATATATAATTGAAACAGAGTTTCAACTCTGTTTAAAACAGAATAACACCTTTACTACACTGTAATGTTTCCTTTTTTCTTTCTTTTTATCCTCCCTTTCCACAGGGTTTGTACCCAGGCCTTGCACATACTAGCAGGTGTTCTATCCCTGAGTTATACTGCACCCCCGATGTTTTCTATTTTATTTCATTCCATTAAAACATATTGCTGGGCACCAGTGGCTCATGTCTGTAACCCTACCTACTCAAGAGACAGAGATCAGGAGGATCGCGGTTCAAGGCCAGCCAGGGCAAATAGTTTGCAAGACCCTATCTCCACAATACCCAACCATAAAAGGTTGGCGGAATGGCTCGAGTGGTAGAGTGCCTGCCTAGCAAGTGTGAGGTCCTGAGTTTAAACCCCAATACTGCCAAAAAAAAAATTTTATATAAGCAAAACCCAGCATCTGAGTGGCAATTTTATGAGTGCTATGTAGAAAAATAAGGCAGGAAAGACCAAGGAAGGCCTCATGATGCTTTCACTGCTTGTTGCAATGACTTCAGCAGCGTCCACAGTGTAAAACCTCTGCCCCTAATCACTCCATTCAGTGCCTCTTGGTATGTTTGAAGTCTCCTTCTCCATGCACACATATGTATGGCTGGGCTCATGCACCCACAAGTGTAGGAGAGTATGTATATGTGGGCACATATGCATGCATGAGCCAGTCCACCCCACCTCACTGAGGTTTGGGAGAGAGGAGGCGGGGCCTCCATATCCTGCTGTGATATTCCTACACAACAGGGTTTGAATGGGGCCTGAAATTCAGCCCTGGCACCACCAGCCAAAGCCATATGGAGAATCTTTTCATCATTGGCCTACACAGAGGGGGCACCTTTTGCCATTCCTCAGGCCAAAGGCTGTGCTGGTTTCTAATTTGCACCAAGATGCCTTGTCTGCTGGGGAGAGGAGTCCACTGTCAGAATTAAGAATGACTCCTGGTGGGGGTGGGATCAGTATCCTGGGCACACCTGACAGAGTGATTGATGTGGGTCTCAGGGGAAATGGGATTGGAGGCAGCTCTGAAGCAGCGGGGACCACTTGGGTAGCCTCCACGGATGGCATTTCAAACTTAGCACTAGAGTGAAATCTTCTGACTCTTGCTTTACATTAAAGGGGGATATAAAAATGTTGCTAGCAAGGGTGGCAAAAGCATTACCTGTGGGAAAAGCAGCCAATCTCTGCTAATGAATAAGTGTAATTGATCAAAACAGATGACTTGATGGGCCATCCAAATGTGCTTTTAGCAAAGTGGACAGTTTTTCATTCAAATGCAAACTCACCCAGATAAGATCTAATAATGGAGATTTTGGAACAATCCCAGCATTGCTGATATCTTCCCCCCACCTTCCCCTTCATGAGCAAAAAGGCATCTTAAGTTCCAGGCTGCAGCTCAACCCAATCTGACATCACTGTAAGCTTTCAGCATGGCAGAGGGGACCCTGACAGTCCCTAGATGCAGGAAAGTGTCAGTAACAAGCTGCCTCACACTCCCACTGACCTGTCCCCTTTACCTCACAAATACTCCCTGACATATGAAGAGCCTGGTGGCCATTCAGTTCAACACAGTCTTCTATTTATTTGGACAATATCTACTGAGCACTGTGCTAACCACCAAAAGGGGATTCAAGATGACTGAGATCAGCCCCTGTCCTCAGAAAAGAGGGCAGCTATGAAGAGAAACAACAGAGGCCCTAGGGAAGGTCTCGGCTCACCTGCTCAACCACTTAATCTTTCTGGGTTTCAGCTTCCTCCTTTATCAATTGAAAGCACTGGCTTAGACAGGATCTCTGGGCACCAGGCCAGCTGAAAACTATGATTCCAAGCCTTCTTCCTCCTCTCAGGCTCCCAGGCTCCTAGGAAGCTGACAGACCCAGAGCAGCCTTCTAGGAAGGGGAAAAGTCGGCAGAGGGGAGGTGGAGAGCATCCTGCATCCCTCGTGGAGTGAATTTGGTCCCAGCACAAGATGCAGGCTGGAGAAGATGTGAGATAAGTTCAGGAAATGAAGGGGAAGACTTGGACTTCCACACGAAGCAACCAGGGAACCACAGGGTGATGTAAAGGAACGTGGAGGACCGGAGAGTGGGCTGGGGTGGGAGTGGTGGGAGTGATGTTGAAAAAGAGCAGAAAGGCTGAGGCCTAAAGAAGTCAAAGGGTCCTGCCATGGCCTGGCTGAGGCACCGTTCCATCGCCCCCTGACATCGCATCGTGTTCATCTTCATAAACTCGCCCAAGCCCCGATTCATTGTGCACTATTTTAGGTTCCACAAGTAGCGTTAAAGTAAACAGGCAAAACTCACCCCCCTTCTTCCCTGGTGCCTGAGGTTAAGCAGGACCACCAAGGTCTGTCGGGGAGGGGGTGGCCGCAGCCAGAGGTCTAGAATGGGGTGCACCTACCTGCAGAGAAGCCTTCCTCGTGGTCTGAGCTGTTGTGGCTGCAGTCGCTGCCTCTCTCGGGCGAGCTGTGACAGGGCGAGTCCCGCTCTGGTACCCTCAGGAACCTCTTGCGCCCCCAATGGGTGAGGTGCTCGCGGGCCCCGCGCCTGGGGGGCTCATCCTCCGCTCGACTGTCCTTGGCTTCCGCCTCCAGCTGCTCCAGATCTCGGCTCTGGCGGTGGTGCCGCCGGCCCCCGGGGATTAGATGCATCCAGCGGTGGGGGCTGCACGCCCGTGCCCGCTTCTCGGCCTCATCGCGGGTCCCAAATCGGCAGGGGGCCACAAGCAAGTTGCCGAGGACGAATTTCTCGTTCAGATCCACCATCTCGAAGTCGTGGTCACTGCTGTCGCCCCCATCGTCCGCGCCAGAGGCGTCCGGCTCGCCCTCCTCTGAGCCCCGCCCCGCGCGGGTCCCCAAGGACCGCTGGTCTCCCTGGGCGTTGGAAACCTTGCCATCGTGGCCGGGGGGCGCACAGTCCTCCCGGGGCCTGAAGAGGAGGCGAGGCTGCAGCAGCTGCTGGTGGATGGCGGCAGTCAAGCTGAGCACCGCGCCCCCTCCCTCAGCCACCCCGGGACAGGTGGGAAGGTCCAGGCACACGCAGGGAGGAGGCTCGGCCTTAGCCACCACCTCCCGATCCGGAGCTGGGGGGTCTCCGCCGCTGTCCGCTGCGCCCTCCTCCTCGCGCGGTGGCGGTGGCGGTGGCTGCGCCCGCTCGGGCCCGGCTGGCTCCGGTTCCCGGGCCGAGGCTGCCCCGCTGCCCCCGGCTCCGCCCGCCGGGCGCTCGCCGCGTAGGTTCAGCTTCTCCCCAGCCAGGGCCGCCTCCAGGTACAAGACTTTGAACTTCTCCTCCGCCAACACCTGTTGCAGTCGCTTCAGGTTGAGTTTGCAGCGCTCCAGCTCCCGCTCCATGTCCAGCACCGACTCCAGCCTCATGACCGGTGCCTCCTCCCCGGGGAACTCGGCCTGCCAGTGGCGCCCGAACTCCTCCGGGTCCCACATGTTGGGAGCCCCGGCCGGCCTCCCGGGGTCCGGCTTCTCTCCGGACCGCCTGGGGTCGCGCCGGCCTCTCTCTGGGAAGCCCGCACTGGCGCAGTCTCCTGCCTTTCGCTTCAGCCCCTAAGGAGAAAAAGAGAAAAAATAAAGTTTTTCCCCTTCCGCCCTCGTGCCTTTTTTTTTTTTTCCTTCTTCTTCTTCTGGGTTTCGCCTCCCTGACGTAAGCAGCCACCCGCGGCGGAGGCGGGCGTCTGGGGCCCTAGGCCAGCCCCGGGGCAGCGCGGTCTGCAGCCCCTCTGCTGGGCCGGACGCCCCGCGAGCTCCGGGTACGGAAAAGCCGCGGCTGGGGCGGAGCCTCAGGGCGTCGGATCGGGACCTGCGGGCGCGCCGGGGAGCTGCGTGGGTGGCAGGAACAGGGTGCTGCCCACCCCAGAGGCGACACCCGGCGGCGGCCGCGGCGGGGCCAGCACGCACCTTCCGCGCCAGTTGTGCTGCGCAGCTCCCGCCGCAGCGCGCGCTCCGCGCTCCCTCCCTGCACCCGTGCGCGGGGCCGCGCGGCCGGGGGAAGGCCCGGAGCACGGGCGAGGAAGCGCGCGGGGGCGCCCTGAGCCCCCGGCCAACCTCCGGCCACCCAGGTCTCAGCAGCCTCGCCTGCCCAGGTCAGGGTGGCGCCCAGGACCGACAAGGGAAAAGGTGCGGGCTGAGAGATGGATCGCGGCGACCAGCGCAGGTGTGGAAGGAAGGGAGCCGTCTGCTGATCCGCGGGGTTGTCTGCGCTGGGGTTTATCCAGCATCTTGGACTAAGTTCTCCAACACCATACAGTGCTTAATACAAACTGGGGACAAAACTTTGGGTTTTGAGTTCCTTTAAATGTTCTCTTCACTGATTACTAGAGCTTTCCGGGGGCGGGGGGAATGGGCAAGAGTGACAGCTACAAACGGCTCTGCTTGAGGGTCCAGTGACTTCAAAGCCGAAGGCACTCCCGTGTGGCAATCAAACCATGGCTGCAGGGGCCTGGATCTAGTAGAGGACCCTCCACTCCACCTGCTCTTTATGGCCTCAGACGACCCGCTAGAGAGGAAAAGAAACTTGAGTGGGTGGGGGGAGGTGTATCCTGGCCACGTGTTCTTTTCCTTCCTTTCCTCTTCCAGGACTCTGGGTGAGCTCGCAGAAAGAGACCTGATACAGTGTCTCGTGCTTGCAGGGAGAGGGACCCTTATCAGTGATTCATAGTTCCTTCAAGTCAGGGAGGAGGATATTGATACTCCCAGAGAAGAAGCAAGTGGCAGCCCAAAATTCTTCCTCCTCATCGTGGGACTGAATGGAGTTAAACAACCCCAGCCTGCGGCTCACCTCTTACCTGAACCATTGCCACCGGCCATCCAGCTCCCGCTTGTCAATCAAGGATACAAGAATATATACATGTATAGTGGGACTCGGGGTTGAAGTCAGGGTTTCCCTCTTGCAGAACAGGCACTCTACCCCTTGAGCCAAACCTCCAGTTCATTTTGCTCTGATTATTTGTTGTTATTATTAAATTTATTTATATTTTGGCAGCACTAGAGTTTGAACTCAGGGCACTATTACCATTTGAGCCACTCCTTCAGCCCTTGCTCTGGTTATTTTGGAGATGAGTGTGGTGAACTATTTGCTCTTGCTGGCCTTCAACTGTAATCCTCCTGATCTCAGCCTCCCAAGTAGCTAGGATTACAGGCATGAGCCACCAGCGCCTAGCTAAGGAAGAGATCTCTTAACCACAGATTACATCCTGCCAATGCTTATGTGTACAACCCTTCTGTGGCTCCCTGGTCACCTGCAGAGTAGAGTTCAGACTCCTTGAATGACACAGGCGGTTCTGGCAGGTTTGGTCTCTGCTCACCTTTCTGACTTCCTCCTACACTTTTTAATCCATGTTGTCCCTAAATACTTGGCTTTCTATGTCACATGTACTTTTTTCTCTTTCTTGGAACTCCTGTTTTCCCCCTACACACATATAAAATTCCCTGAAGCCTGGGGACCGCCACCTCTAAGAGGCCCTTGCTAGCCTCTCCGCCTTTTGTTTGTCTCACCTCTGTGTCTTTATCTGCTCTCCTTCTTCTGCTTTATTATGTCATTAGTGACCTCTTTTGCTTCCTTTGCTCTGAGAACTGGGCAAAGGGCAGTGTCTTTTCCACATTTTTCGTGCCTGCTGCTTCTTGCAAGGTGATATAGAGATAGATGATAATTGTTGAAAGAAAAAATGAGTGAACGGAGTCCCCCATCTTGCTGTTCTTGCATGACTTCCCAGGTGTGGATCCTTCTGGACTGGAGCAAGCATGCTCCCCACAGAGGCGTCTCAACTCTGCCAAAGTTTATGTTTATTTGTTTTGTTACTACCCCTTCCTCCTTCTTTGTTTTTTCTTTTTTCTAACTTGCTGTGCCACTGGCATTAATCATCAGTCCAGACTATCAGGCCAGACAACTATGGGGAGATGATATGTTTTTAAACACACTAATTTAGTATTCCTCAGTTAGAGTGACTTCTCAGTCCTTCATCTACTTCCTCAACCTGCTTTCCTTCCTACCTTAGCATTACACCTTCAAGGCCCAGAGGCCACACAATCTCCTTTGACTATGGGGAAGGACCAATTTAGGAGCTCCCCGTGCTGTTCCATCAAACGGAGTCTACAGGCATCTTGGCCTCTGTTAGAATTTCAGAAGAGGAGAGAAAATACAGGCCAGCAGTGATGGATGACCTGTCAATAAGCACATTGATCAGAAGATCTTTCAGTATGTATATTTAAATGTACAAGGAAACAGAAAATTACAAGTTACCATAAACATCAATTTCTGAATGTGTACATTTCCAGGGAGGATAGTTTCAACTGTGGTATGGTTCCCTTTTGGTCCAAGAAAGTTGTTACCAAAACTGCTAATCTTTTCCACCAGGGCCAATATAACTGGAAATGCCAGCATACGTCTTCTGTCTTCTGTAAACAGACCCCAGGAGCAGCCTTCATTTTCTCTAGCTGGTGAGTAGTTAAGCTTTGTTACTTGTCTCCAGGTTATCATGGGGACAGGAGTAGAGTGGCTGACATTTATTGAGTCTACATTTCTAGTCGCCATATATCTTTGATCTCATCTAACTCCTCACAACGACTCTGTCAGGTCAAGAAGATATTACTGTTGCCATTTCAGAAAGAGAGAAATGAAAGATCAAAGAGGTTAGAGGTCACCCAGCTAGTCTCTGGCTCCTGAAGTCCAGCAGCTTTGCAAGACCTGGCCCTGGTGCATCTGGCTTGGCATTCGATCATTCAGGAAATATTGATTGAACACCTGCAAGGCGCCAGGACCAGGCAAATAAAGTTTCAGCTTCATAAGGCTGACATACCAGATTCTACACAATGGGTGCTCTGACCCAGCCTACTTTTCCAACCTCGTTTCCTCAATTTCTTCTGCTTACTGCACCCATTCAGGCCCCACTTCCCCTCCCAACCTGAGTGATCCTCTGTAGCAAGCGCCATGCTCTCCCCACTTGGTCTATCTGGGACTTCCCCTGCTCTCAAGTATCCACCCCAACTACTCCAGGCATTTTTCTGCCTGGAGTTTTTTTGCTTTTTTTTTTTTCAAAAGCAGTCCAGTTGGAGACTTCCCTGGGAAGTTAACACCCCCAGAAGCATCCCACAGCCAGTTGAAATAGGGGATGGTTATAAACATCCACCCGAACTCTTGCCAGGCTCCATCTTTGGTTGGCCTTTCTGAGACATAATTTGCAGGCTTGTTTAGGGGTCTCCAACAGGAATGAGCCCCTTGGTGCTCACCCTGGTAAGTGGGAATCAATCAGTAACAAGCTTTCGGTTGGCTTTCCCTGCCTGTCTGTCTCCGTCTCCTCCCTTACTCCTGCTTCCTAGGACAAACGCCTGAATAAAATACTTGCACTAAGACCTGTTTCCCCCTCTTCCCCTGCCTCCCCCCACTAAGACACCTGCCAGGTCCTCGGGCCCTCTCTGCTATAACAACAGTGGTGTGCCTCACCACCCCCAGCTCTTCATGGTCTCTCATTCCCACCCTTCTCCATGCTGCTTCCTTCTTTACCTGGTGAGATCCTTTTGCACCTATCAAAGCCCAGCTCACCTGTGACTTTATGTCTGACACCTTCCCTTCCCCAGGTCTTGTTAGGCTCTACTGTCTACAGAGACTTGCATTGGTCCCAGTACCGGTCACATGTCACGCTGTAATTAATTCCACAGCTCTATAAGTCTCAAATCCTCAAACATCAAATCCACAGGTTGCCAAGGATCAGGTGCCCCTGGCCAACTGGCATCTTACTTCTCTGATTGCCCTTTTACCTTATGAGGTGTGAACTGTCACTTGTGTACGTCTGCTGATGGAATGATTGAATGAATGAACTACTCATCTGGGCCCTGAGATTAAACCCAGGGCCTTGTGCTGGCTAAATAAGTGTTCTACCACGTGAGCTGTGCCACCAGTCTCAGACCTCATACCATCTTAAAGCAGAACCACCCTAACCCAATGAGCAGAGGGGACAGGCACCTTTGAAGGCATTAACAAATTGCCTCTATGGAATCACAAAATCAGTCATTTACCCTTCAGTGTGAACTGCCTTCTGTCTTGCTTTCATTGTGGCTACCTGAGTTTAGTAGAAAAGGGCTGAGTGTAGCTGTACATGACTGTATTCCCAACCCTCAGGGGGCTGAGGCAGGAGGATAGCAAGTTCAAGGTCAGCCTGGGCTACAAAAAAAAAGGAGAGTACCAGGGAGGAGTCCTTGGGGGTGGGAACTGTATCTTTGAGTGCCAAAGGCCTTTGTGCTCTTATGTGAGGGCTCTCCTGGCCACAGTTTAGAATGACCTGGGAGAGCTGTTCAGACTTGAATTTCCTTCAATATCAATTCTTTCATAATCTCAGAAATGGGGCCCCATATTTATTTATTTGTTTATTATTTTTTGGCAGTACTGGGGTTTGACTCAGAGCCTCACACTTGCTAGGCAGGCTCTCTACCACAATTCTGTTGTGCTTTATTGAGGCTCAATACAATAAAATTCACTTCCTTTTAAGGGTACAGTTTGATACATTTTGGTATTTGCAAGCAGTCACTTGATAATCTCTACATTCATCAAGATGCAGAAGGGTCCCACTCTTGTAAAAAGTTCCCTCCTACCCTTTTGTAGTCAATCTCTTACCCCAATTCCTGGCCCCAGGCAACCATAGTTTTCTAGAATTTGTCAGTATAATTCTGTTTTTTCTAGAATTTT